ACCTCAGTGTGTCCAGTTTACAGTGTTGACTCTTCAGTCCATCAGAGAGAAGCTTCACTCCTGAATCCTGCAGGTCATTGTTACTCAGGTCCAGCTCTCTCAGCACACAGTTTGAGGATTGTAGAGCTGAAGACAAACTCTCACAGCACTGAACAGTAAGTTTACAGCTCTGTAGTCTGTGTAGAGGACAGTAAAAGACACTGTATTATTGTGTGTGAGTGTGATGTAATTAGGGAAAAGGAAAAGACTCCTTTAAATTTTCAGAGTTGCTTTGATGGTAACATGGAGGAAGATCAAACATTTGTATTTCATTATTACATAAACTTTTTAAAAAGAAGATCTCTGGACCAAAATGAGTCGGCCAGACAGATTTAGTTTTTTTACTATTTCTGTTCTTATATTTCTGATATTTCAAATCCATTCAGATCCTCATATTTGTTAAACAAAGCAAGTCTCTAATATAATATTAACAGACAGAAAATATGACTTTACAAACTGTATTGTAAATAAATCACATCAACATCTTCATATTAGTCAATGATATTCCTGAAATGAATATAAAACTGACTGAATATAACTTTAATTTTAGCATTTATTTGATGGAAATGTTTTTATTTTACCTCAGTGTGTCCAGTTTACAGTGTTGACTCTTCAGTCCATCAGAGAGAAGCTTCACTCCTGAATCCTGCAGGTCATTGTTACTCAGGTCCAGCTCTCTCAGCACACAGTTTGAGGATTGTAGAGCTGAAGACAAACTCTCACAGCACTGAACAGTGAGATTACAGCCCTGTAGCCTGTGTAGAGGAGCAACAAAATCAGCAGTAAGAAATTAGCAGAGTTGTGTTCATGAGTCCAGTCTACAGTGATAAAAACAACACTGAAAATAAACTATATATATATAGTTTGAGCAGTATATATATATATATATATATATATATATATATATATATATATATATATATATATATATATATATATATATACTGCTCAAACAATAAAGGGAACACTAAAATAACACATCCTAGATCTGAATGAATGAAATATTCTTATTAAATACTTTGTTCTTTACACAGTTGAATGTGCTGACAACAAAATCACACAGACATGATCACTGGAAATCAAATGTATTAATCCATGGAGGACTGGATTAGGAGTCACACTCAAAGCTGTAATGAACTGCAGGAATTACTGACACACTCCAGACTAGTGATGCACGTTATATCGGTGCCTATATCGTTATCGGCCGATAAACGCTATTTTTAAGATTATCGTTATCGATCCGATGTCTTAATTAGGCCGATATATTTAAGCCGATAAATTACGTAATTGTACAGACCTGCGTGCCGCGCTCGCGTGGGCGGAACATGTTCAGACTTGTCCAGTGCACTATAATGGATCTCTCCTCACACTGTTTATTCCTTCAAAGTCTGTGCTTTCTTCCCGTGGCATTGCTGTGAGTTAATAACTCAGTAAGTAACCATGTTCTTTATCATTGTAGATATGTTTGATTGAGTTTCATTGTGTATTTTGCTTTAAATCGCCTCAGGAAAAATATTACATGTGTAAACCTTTCCTGCTTTGTCTCTTTGTTGTGTTAAAGATATAAGGGGAGATTCACTTATAATCTCCCCTAATGAGATTATAAGTGATATAATCCGAATAATGTTAGTTTCGGGGTGAACTTTTTTTGTTGCAGCTGGTGAATAAAAGAGGACACATGTAACTTGGTCCAAAATATTTATTACTTTCCGTGTGGTACAACAAATAAGCCACCAAAGAGGGAACATCACAGAAAATGGTCTCAATGCGAAAAAACCGCTCCTCTTTTCTCTCTCCCTCTCCCTCTGCTTCACTCACACCCCAAACTGCAGCCCAGTCCCATTGAAGGACCCGCACATTTTACAACACGTGTAAACATAACGGTTGTTTGTAATCTGATTATTTGTTAATATTAACGCGTTGCTGGTCATGTGTTGTTGATGTAAGATAGTATTCAGTTTGATCTGAATATTCATATTGATTATAACGAGCTCGCGTGAGAGCTGTCACCGCGCGCACACAAATACATACACACACACACACACACACACACACTGTAGCACCGTAGCACGGGGGAGAGAAGAGAGGTGAATCCAGTCAAAGGGGCTCTTAACTAGCCGCTCATTCTGTCTTTATATTCTGCTCTGTGTTTGTCATAATGTCAGCTCAACGCAGGTTTTGTATCAAAATCTGACTCTGATGGCAACTCTGCCTCTACAGTTAAGTAAAACTCTCAGCGGTTTATCATAAACTTTTCATCGATCATTTTCCCGCGATTGACGGCAAGAACGAGCGCAGAAGCGTTGTCTGATTGACAAGCAGCACCTACATGTGACATGTCAAAATAGGATGAATCTGTGCCGCATTTTCTAAACGTACTATCTTTATTTAGCTGTTCGCTTGTACGGTGGCTCTGAACTGTCAAAATACCTCTAAAAAAGGCTTTTTCGGACATGACATATTTGTAGATGTGTACATCACTGTAACATGTTTTATTCATGACCATTTGAGCTGGTTTCAGTCCTTAGCTCTTTTATTTTCATCTTATTTAAATATATTTAAATAATATATCTAAATACCATTTTGTTATTTAAACTATTAATTTTTGCAACAATCAACTTGCATGTTAATTTGCTATGAAGAAAAGGAAATCATTTTTTGCATGCTGATTTATGTGAAATCGTGAATATAGGTCTATAATCACCTTGCAATTTTGAAGTTATAGCTTTTTTTGCTTTGAGTATAGACTGTTCAGTTCATAAGAGCAGTTCAATCTTTTATGAATTTTTATGTATAAAAATATAACATTCATTCATTTTCTTGTCGGCTTAGTTCCTTTATTAATCCGGGGTCGCCATAGCAGAATGAACTGCCAACTTATCCAGCAAGTTTTTACGCAGCGGATGCCCTTCCAGCTGCAACCATCTCTGGGAAAAAAATATATATATATATAACAATTTAAGATATTTATAATTGTCGGCCTATATATATCGGCTATCGGCCCCCAAGTCTGAAGAATTATTGGTTATCGGTATCGGCCAAAAAAATTCATATCGGTGCATCCCTACTCCAGACACATGGACATTTTCAGAACAAGAATATTTATTTCATTTATAATATACTATTTATTTATTTAATCTACATTAAACTAAACTAAACCTGTATTTCTCCATTCATATGACTGTACTGAATTATTGAACAGATTATTAATAACTAATCAGAGAGCATTTTACTGAGCTCAGTGTAAAGTTTAGTGTTTAGGCCTACAGTAAATGTAATATTAGAGGCATGTCTGCGGCGAGACGGCAATACTGTGTCTAAAATTACACTATTTCTCTGATCAGAAAACAAACACAATTATCCAAGAGCAACACTGTGTTAGATTTGAGCAAATACACATCAACAAATGTCCTATTCAGCTGGAGGAGCACAGGGATTTACAGGGATTTGAGTTATTTTCCAGGATAAACTGTAAAGCAAATGAAGTAGATTATTAAATAAGTACAAATGTTGTTTGTGTGAGTAAAAAGTCAAGAAAAGTTTGTTAAATACGTTTAGAAATGCTGAAATAAATGAGCAAATAAGGAAACAGAACACTGCCGCCGCGTCCCCATGCAGTAACATGGTGTATCAGCGATCTCACAGGGGGACGATACGCCCAGCTAAAGGTTTTCTGTTAAAGGGCCATGAAACCCCCTCGTTTCAGCAGGGTGTTTTCACACCTCTTCTTTGGAAAAAGTCAGAAAAGTGGGGGTGTCCAGCTCTGTTTAGGGGGGAGTGTCGGAGAAACTAAAGTGGGAGGGTGTGGGAGTGTCTATTTGGGCACGCGCGAGTTTCAGTCAAAATACACAGGAGAAAGGGATGGTGTTTAACCTACATGGACATCTGTAGTCGAATTATTTGCCAAATTATTAAATGTCGGACTTTAACTGCAGTTCGGCTCTTTCATTCAGGGAATTCATTCATGCCCCTCGCGACAAATGAGATATTTGATTCGAGGAACTGCTCTAAGCGTGTATTTTTCATGCAATGTTTGATACCGCACGGCGAATGAGAGAAAAAAAACTCCGCATTTCCCGTAAAACTTAGATGCACACAGCAGGTAGCGTCAGAAAGCCGCGTGTGTTATTCCGGTCACAAAATGCGGTGCTAACATGTTTGCACTCAATGCAATAGTTAACTTATTTGATACGAACAAACTGAATATACAAAGAGCACTGGTCGCTCACTTACCAAATCTGTAGAGACAGGACAATCACCAGCAACTAGAGCCGCGTCTTTATGAAGAGAAGACTACATCCGGAATCCGGATTTCAGCGTTTGCAGATGAGAACAGCTCTCAGGTAAACAATAATCCCCCTTAGACACGTAAATTATTGTTGTCGAGCGTCGCGTACACTGTAATCCACACGTGATCCAGATAAGCTCTCACAGAGAGAAAATGAAAACGAAACTTAATGGCAGCAAACTGTAAAAGCAACACTTCACGCTTGTTTTGCCAACACAACGTGGCGTCTCTGTGGTGTAAAGACGGTGACACTAATGAATATTAATGAAGTTGCACAATAGAGCGCGCTGATTGGTTTGAACCAAGTCTTACTCATGCATTAATGCATCACACTGTAAGACGTAATAAGGCACACTCTGGCACAGACGCCCAGTCTGCACGCTGGAATACACGCTATTATGTCATGGCCGTGACGCAGCTTCAAAAATTCGTTTCAAACAGGAAGTACGAATTTGCTTGAAATAACGCAAAAACAACCAATTTACACTTTTTAGTGAAATATAGGTGTCCTAATAGTGTTTTTAGCAGTGTGGGACACATATACGACTGTCAACAGCTCAAAAAATGTGTTTTGGTGTTTCGTGACCCTTTAAAGCAGGGCGGTGATTCACTAAACTGATCTGAGTCTTCAGTGCAGACTGATGTGTGTCTTCTGTGATCAATCAATGAATACTCACAGAGCTCTTCTGCAGTTTCTCACAGCTGCTGTCAGTCTCCGTCTTCCCTCAGCTGATGTATTGAATTTATTAAAGTCTAACTCATCCAGCGGCTCCTCTGACATCTCAATCATGTAGGAGATTGTTGAGCAGTGAGCAGGAGAGAGTTCCTCCTCTGAGTGTTTGTCTGATTTCACAAACTCCTGAATCTCTCTGGCCAGAGTCTGATCTTTCACCTCCAGCAGACAGAGGAACAGATTGATGGATCTTTCAGCTGAGAGATGTTTATCTGTCTTGATCTTGTCTTTAATGTACTGTGTAATTCTCCTGATGCTCTCTGAGCTCTCCCCTGTGTGTGTCAGCAGATCCTGGAAGAGTCTCTGATTGGACTCCAATGAGACGCCCAGCAGGAACCGCAGGAACAGATCCAGATGACCATTACTACTCCTGACAGCTTTATCTACTGCTGTACTGAGCAGATCACACAGAGAGTTCTCAGAGCTGGACTGTAGATATTGATTATATAAATATTCTCTGTCATAAATCCCCCTCAGCGGTTTTCTCTTCTTTGTTAAATGGCAGTAAAACACAAAGAAAGCAGCCAGAAACTCCTGAAAGCTGAGATGGATGAAGCTGTAGACTTTCCTCTGATAAATCACAGATTCCTCCTTGAAGATCTCAGTGCAGATCCCAGAATACACCGAGGCGTCAGTGACGTCTATGCCGCTCTCAATCAGGTCCTCCTCATAGAACATCACATTGCCCTTCATCAGCTGTCTGAAAGCCACTTCAGCAAGTTTGAGGATCTCTCCTCTGTTGGACTGCAGGAGTTTCTCTGGATCTCTCTCTTCATACTTCTGCTTCCTCATGTTGATCTGAATCAGCAGGAAGTGGATGTACATCTCAGTCAGAGTTTGAGGGATTTCTGCACTCACATCTTCTTCCAGGAGCTTCTGAAGCACAGTGGAGGAGATCCAGCAGAAGACGGGTATGTGGCACATGATCTGGAGGCTTCTTGCTCTTCTGATGTGGGAGATGATTCTGCTGGCTTGATGCTTGTCGCTGATTCTCTTCCTGAAATATTCCTCCTTCTGAGGCTCAGTGAATCCCTGAATTTCTGTCAGACGCTTGATGTATCTGGAGGGGATCTGATGGGCTGCTGCAGGTCTGGAGGTGATCCAGATGAGAGCTGAGGGAAGCAGATCTCCTTTCAGGAGGCTCCGCATCAACACAGCCACTGATGAAGATTCAGTCACAGCACAAACTTTCTCCTCATCTGAAAAGTTGAGTGTGATTCTGCTTTCATCCAGACCATCAAAGATGAACACAACTCTACACTGCTCATAAATCTTGGGCTCCAGATCTTCAAGTTCAGGATGAAAGTCCAGCAGAAGTCTGTGAAGACTGTACTGATGATCTCTGATCAAGTTCAGCTCTCGAAATGGAAGCACAAACATGAAATCTACATCCTGATTGTCTTTTCCCTCGGCCCAGTCCAGAATGAACTTCTGCACAGAGATGGTTTTCCCGATTCCAGCGATGCCTTTAGTGAGAACAGTCTTGATCTTGGCTTTCTCCTGCTTGATCTTCTCCTCATGTCCTGCTCCAGCTGAGGCTTTAAACATGTCATTGCAGTAGACTGGAGTGTGTTGTGAGGGTTTTGTTCTGGCTCTTTTCTCCATCTGTAAAACCTCATGTTCTTCATTCACTCCTTCACTCTCTCCTTCTATGATGTAGAGCTGTGTGTAGATCCTGTTCAGGAGGGTTTGAGTCTCTCCATGGTTAATTCCCTCAAATAATCTCTCATACTTGTTCTTCATGCTGGTTTTGTGCTGCTCTTTGACTGTCTGAAGTTCATCATGTTCTGGTTGGAGTGAATCCTGCAGCAGGTCTCCAGTCTGATCATCTCTAGCCACACTGCAGAAACAACAACAACAACACAAAGAATCAATGAGTGCCAGTGTAAAGATCCTCTAGTGAAGCCATGTGTGTTTTCTCTGAACCAGCTGAGACACAATACACGGATTTAATCAGATTTAAGTTAAACACCACACACTGATCACATTAAACACCACACACTGATCGCTTTAAACACCAAACACTGATCCCTTTAAACACCACACACTGATCACTTTAAACACCACACACTGATCACAGTAAACACCACACACTGATCACTTTAAACACCACACACTGATCACTTTAAACACCACACACTAACCACTTTAAACACCACACACTGATCACTGTAAACACCACACACTGATCACTTTAAACACCACACACTGATCACTTTAAACACCACACACTGATCACTTTAAACACCACACACTGATCACTTTAAACACCACACACTAACCACTTTAAACACCACACACTGATCACACTGATCACTGTAAACACCACACACTTATCACTTTAAACACCACACACTGATCACTTTAAACACCACACACTGATCACTTTAAACACCACACACTAACCACTTTAAACACCACACACTGATCACACTGATCACTTTAAACATCACACACTGATCACTGTAAACACTGCACACTGACCACATTAAACACCACACACTGATCACTGTAAACAGCACACACTGATCACTTTAAACACCACACACTGATCACTTTAAACATCACACACTGATCACTGTAAACACTGCACACTGACCACTTTAAACACCACACACTGATCACTGTAAACACCACACACTGATTACTTTAAACACCACACACTGATCACTTTAAACACCACACACTAATCACTTTAAACATCACACACTGATCACTTTAAACATCACACACTGATCACTGTAAACACTGCACATTGACCACATTAAACACCACACACTGATCACTGTAAACAGCACACACTGATCACTTTAAACACCACACACTGATCACTTTAAACATCACACACTGATCACTGTAAACACTGCACACTGACCACTTTAAACACCACACACTGATCACTGTAAACACCACACACTGATTACTTTAAACACTGCACACTGATCACTTTAAACACCACACACTGATCACTTTAAACACCAAACACTGATCTCTTTAAACACCACACACTGATCACTTTAAACACCAAACACTGATCACTTTAAACACCACACACTGATCACTGTAAATGCCACACACTGATCACTTTAAACACCAAACACTGATCACACTGATCACTTTAAACACCACACACTAACCACTTTAAACACCACACACTGATCACTGTAAACACCACACACTGATCACTTTAAACACCACACACTGATCACTTTAAACACCACACACTGATCACTTTAAACACCACACACTGATCACACTGATCACTGTAAACACCACACACTGATCACTTTAAACACCAAACACTGATCACACTGATCACTTTAAACACCACACACTAACCACTTTAAACACCACACACTGATCACTTTAAACACCACACACTGATCACTTTAAACACCACACACTGATCACTTTAAACACCACACACTGATCACTTTAAACACCACACACTGATCACTTTAAACACCACACACAGATCACTTTAAACACCGCACACTGATTACTTTAAACACTACACACTGATTACTTTAAACACCGCACACTGACCACTTTAAACACCACACACTGATCACTGTAAACACCACACACTGATCACTTTAAACACCACACACTGATCACTTTAAACATCACACACTGATCACTTTAAACACCACACACTGATCACTTTAAACACCACACACTAACCACTGTAAACACCACACACTGATCACTGTAAACACCACACACTGATCACTTTAAACACCACACACTGATCACTGTAAACACCGCACACTGACCACTTTAAACACCACACACTGATCACTGTAAACACCACACACTGATCACTTTAAACACCACACACTGATCACTTTAAACACCACACACTGATCACTTTAAACACCACACACTGATCACACTGATCACTGTAAACACCACACACTGATCACTTTAAACACCAAACACTGATCACACTGATCACTTTAAACACCACACACTAACCACTTTAAACACCACACACTGATCACTTTAAACACCACACACTAACCACTTTAAACACCACACACTGATCACTTTAAACACCACACACTGATCACTTTAAACACCACACACTGATCACTTTAAACACCACACACTGATCACTTTAAACACCACACACAGATCACTTTAAACACTGCACACTGATTACTTTAAACACTACACACTGATTACTTTAAACACCACACACTGATCACTTTAAACATCACACACTGATCACTGTAAACACCACACACTGATCACTTTAAACACCACACACTGATCACTTTAAACATCACACACTGATCACTTTAAACACCACACACTGATCACTTTAAACACCACACACTAACCACTGTAAACACCACACACTGATCACTGTAAACACCACACACTGATCACTTTAAACACCACACACTGATCACTGTAAACACCGCACACTGACCACTTTAAACACCACACACTGATCACTGTAAACACCACACACTGATCACTTTAAACACCGCACACTGATTACTTTAAACACCACACACTGATCACTTTAAACATCACACACTGACCACTGTGAACACTGCACATTGACCACTTTAAACACCACACACTGATCACTGTAAACACCACACACTGATCACTGTAAACACCACACACTGATCACTGTAAACACCACACACTGATCACTTTAAACACCACACACTGATCACTTTAAACACCACACACTGATCACTTTAAACACCACACACTGATCACAGTAAACACCACACACTGATCACTGTAAACACCACACACTGATCACTGTAAACACCACACACTGATCACTTTAAACACCACACACTGATCACTGTAAACACCACACACTGATCACTTTAAACACCACACACTGATCACTGTAAACACCACACACTGATCACTGTAAACACCACACACTGATCACACATCTACAGTTCAAAATGCTGTAATCATTTAACAGTGTTTGTCATTTAATAAATGCAGCACTTCAATAATTTATCTTCATTTATTCACAATGATGCTGGATGCTCACTAAAGACATTTGAGATATTTTAAGATAAAAAATGTGATGGAGCACAAGCATGAGGACTAAAGCTCCTAGATGACCTGTTCAGCTGCTGTAGTGTGTAACGTGGTAATGTTGTTTCTTTTACTGTATAATTTTCTGTTCTCGTGTTCCTCTGAATCTTGTATTCTGCTGTCTGTAGTTCTGAGGGTTGTTGTGATCTTATGCTTGTTAAATGTTTTACCATCAATAAGAAAATAATGATTCTCTGTCATCTCTGCTGTCTAAATCTGTCTGACTGAATATAGTTTTTAATTCACATGATAATCTCCAGATCATACGTGTTTTCTCTCAGGGTTCAGGATTTCAGTAACAGCGCTGTAACATTGATGCACTTTATTAAGACAATAATAAAGAGAAGATCTAAATACAGTTTCATCCTAAATCAATATCTCTCTCGCCCATAATTATTTATCAGATGAAATGTGTCAAGGCTCGACAATAAGGGCTGCCCAATGGCCCGGGGCCAGCATGCGAGACACTCTGGACAGTATACATAATAGTTACTGACCCGATCAGGCCAGTGCTGCCTTGTCACTAAAGTTTAATTTGGCTGAGACTGTTTGTCAATTGTGTGCAAATACAGGGTGCTTTCACGCTCAGGTCTGCGTCAAAAAAATTTGTTCGAGATCGCCAGGATGAGACGGTCTCGGTTCAATTGAGCGGATCGATTGTAGTGAGAAAACAAAACGATCCAACATAGTAACAAACCAGGCTGTATCACAGTGTATTATGAATGTGTAATATTAATTTAGGAAAGTTGACCAAAATTAATCTTATAATATGGTGTATTAATCCTGTTGTTTTGTTCATTTCTGTACTGACACTTTGACAAAAAGATCCACATTCATCTGCTTCATGATCTGACTGCAGTCAGGCTAATGTGATTATTATGTTGATGCATCAAGCAAGAACAAGTAGTGAAATGCATTTTAGAACTGGGTTTACAAATAAAAGAAAAATACTAAATATTGATAGTTTAGTATTAGTATTAGGCATTTTCAACTAAACCACACATTAAACAATTCACTTGAATTAATCTAATCAGTGTTGTATTTAAATTAAATCTACTTATTTAATTAAACATATCGTCTGTAAAGGTTACATTCATGGAGCTCACCTAAGTCACTGTCATTAGTTGTCATAACATTATTATTATTATTTTCAAATCAATTTAAGGTAATATATGCACATTTCAGAGGCTGTGCATTTTATGGCAGGGGTGCAACTTTTGGCATAACACCACTTCATCTATTATTTCTCTCTATATTGTAAGCCTGTAATGCATAATTCTAGCCCACATTTTGTAATAGATTAATTAATTCAATAGACAGATTTTTACAAAACTTGACAACTGAAATGAGGCCATGTATGAGAAAGTCTGACTGCTCTGATTTATATTTGGTGACGATGTCTGTGGGTGTCAAAATTAAAGTGCACATTTTTGCTTACAATATACATGTAGATTTTTTTCCAAGTTTAGTTTCATCAATTGTAAACAAATCATTTTTAAATTGTCAGTTGTATTTAAAGAAAGGTTTTGCTGAACAAAGTGTGAGTGTACAATTATGTTTGGCTTTTGACACTAAGAAATAGCTATTTACTTATTTTTTTGGGTGGGGCCAGTGAACATTTCGGCAGGGCAAGTACAAATCTGAACCACTGACCCGATCGGCCACTAGAAAAAAATCCTTAGCCTTGAACCCTGTGTGGTGTGTTTGTCTCACAGAACTTGTTCATTTATCTTGTCTAAAATCTTTCTTTTTATCACAAACCTTTTGCTGACTATTGTAAAAGCCTGTAAACTCACTCTACTAACTAACAGTTTGAGTATTAATACTTTAGTCACTTAATACTACTTCAGTACTTCACTAAAATGTCTTGACTGGACTGTGGGAATAAAGTGTAATAATGTCTGATCTTCTAGAAACACAGGATCATATAAATGCTGCAGTGTAATCATGTGTGTGTAGAGATGATCTACCTGAAAGCAGGTCCTGTGTTTTCACTCTTAAATGTCATTGGTTGACCCATAGACGCGTCACTCTTCATAGACACACAGCTGGGCTCTGCTTCTGCTCTCTTCTGATGAACTGAACTAAAACAGAGAAGATTAAAGTTGAGCGCTGCACACACTGCACAAACCTGATATTAATCATTCTTCATTTACAAAAACACTTAAATTAATTTCCTTTATATTTGAACAGAAACTGTCTGAATGTGGAAAATATCAGCAAACACAGATCAAGGCTCATTTCTAGTAGAGAAAGCCCAACAGAAATGCAGCTCTATTAGAGCAGATTAGAGCTGAAACTAATCATCAAATCACTGAATGAAGTCCACAGTGTAGGTGTGGGAGGAGCTTAATCATGCAGGCGTGTCAATCATCATCACATGACTATATAAGCAGCAGTATAAACTGCACTGTGTCAGCTGACTGTTATTCCCGCCTCCAGCAGCTCCCCTTATCCTCCTCCTCATCACTCGGTCTGCAGAAGGTCACTCATTGGGGGTTTGTCTGCAGAGCTCCAGTCCAGACTATGAGGACAGCAAGACAAGTTCATTTACCATCATCTATCACGACTGAATGAGCAGGAGAACTCGAGAAATATCAATTCTAGAAACCAAATGTGTTGATCAGCAGCATCTATGAGGCCAACACAACATGATGATGACTGCGCTTCAGTGAAAACAGACTCAGATCAGAGGAATGGCTGATCAGTACAGCACAGAAACAGCAGGGGAAAGTGTGCAGGAAAAGCCCTTTATGGCAGGAGATCGGGAACACTTTAGTTTAGCTCACAATTCATACTATTAACTACCGGCTTATTATCTGTGTAATGTGAACATATGAACTGCTCATTAGTAGTCATACAGTATGATCTTATTGTGGATCCCTAACCCTATCCAAAACCTAAACCCACCTTCTACCTCACTAACTATTAAAGGGGTGGTCCACTACGATATTATATTTTAAACTTCAGTTGATGTGTAATGTAGCTGTGTGAACATAAACAGCATCTCTGAATGTAAAATATTCAAAGTTTAATGCAAAGGGAGACCTTGATTTGTACAGAGTTAGCTTAGCAACGCCTACAATTAACGAATTTTGGGGACTACAAAAAATACTTCCGCCCCCTGTGAGATCACAAAAGTTCGTTATTGCGCATCCCACAATGCGCAGGTAAAGGCCGTGGCCAGAGGCGCTGTAACGTTACTGCAGAGAGAGAAATGCCATCCTGCTGTTTCCACAGAGCTGTTCTGTTTTTGTTGTTGGGCTTCCAAATGACACGACCCAAACACAGAAGTGCTTACAGTTCAATATTAATTATGTTCCAGAGAACTATAAAATACATAGCAAGCATGATTTGACAAAACACAGCTTCCAGAATCTCTCCCAGTTCAGTGCTGGATTCAGTTAAAATCTCCTCAAAGATGGAGCAAGGAGACGCTGTGAACTCTGAGTCATGACCTGTAAGTGTTTTTATTTGTTAAAATTGATCATGACATGTACAGTGTCTAACTTTAACGGTGTGTTGTAGCAAAGATGTAAACAACGGGAAATTATGGTAACCGCTAACGACTTAGCTAACGTTACAAATCCATATTTATCAAACGGCTGTAAACGCACACACACACATACACATACACGCACTCTTGGCCAGCACCTGCGTCTCTCTGTGTGAGACGGCAGAATTTCTCTCTATAGGCAGCTATGCTATGCGTTTTACAACTCGGACAATAAAGTCGCAAAAGATATGTGAACGATTCATGTTACTTACACAGGCATATTCCGCATATGCATGAAAGACGTCCTGTAACGCATTGATTTAAAAAAAAATACAGCAATGATTTCCCAACTGGAGTGTAACATCAAAAACAAATCAATCCAGGCTCACAAAGGTCTCATCTCACATCTTGTGCTTTATTCTGTCACCACAGAAAATAACTTAATCCGAGCATGAGAGAAAAAGAACAATAAAAATCTCTCCCGCGCACATGCGCTTCTCGTGTTACAGATACTTCATCGTATACACGCATAAACACACTAAAAGGCACAGAAACAGTTAAAGGAGCCGCATCCCATTTTCACTCGTTACAGACACGTGTTGACTGACTGACTGACTGACTGACTGATTGACTGTTTACACAAAACGCGCGTGCTTGTCAGGGCGTGACGTGAAGCCGATCGGCGTATCACAGCATATTATGATGATGACCAATCAGAGTCACTTGAGGGTGGGCCTTTTAGAGGAACTAGGAAATATGACAGTCGTTTTCATGTTAGCAGAGTAGCTGTGTATAATCAAAGTGAGATTTATGAAAAAATAACACGATTTCCTTCAAGTGAAACATGAGCACACATTGCTTTGCATCTTATTAACACAACCAAGCCTTAAAAATAACATTCTGGACCACCCCTTTAATGAAGCGCTGATTGGTTTGTTAACACCATCAATTGTGGCCTGAAGTGTAAAGCGGAGATCTTCAAGCACTATCCTGCAGAGCTCAGATACAACATCTAACATCTGAAACCCAACAGATCCACAACACTAATTACCTGATTCATTTATTATGAAAATACTCATCAGTTGCAGATATTAAAGAGATGATCTACCTGACAGCAGGTCCTGTGTTTCCACTCTTAAAATGTATTGGTGGGTGCATAGACCGGTCACTCTTCATAGACACACAGCTGGGCTCTGCTTCTGCTCTCTTCTGATGAACTGAACTAAAACAGAGAAGATTAAAGTTGAGCGCTGCACACACTGGAGTCAACACAGCAGATTTACTTAACATTTCATCATTAAAACACTGTTAAAACAGCACTTCCTGATACTTTTCATGATGATTTTACTCAATCTTGCTGGCTGTGTGTGTTAAATATTCAGACAGATTAAAAACACAACTAACAGAGAGTAAATATAATATCCTGTAGAAAATAATCATATGAAATGTCAAGTGAAGGTCTAATACCTGCATCCTGCTGACAAATCCAGATCTCCAGGTGTGTGTGTATCCTCCATGATGAACCTGAAGAGTTTGATCTCCAGCAGAAACTCTAGAAGAAACTGATGAACAGTAACAGATCTCCAGTCATTGATCAGCCTTCATAATTCATCTGAATGCAGGAATAGATCAGCAGCTGAGACACTCAAATCCAGAAGCTCATCACGACTAAACTAATGAAGAATCACAGCCTCATCCGTTTGATCAGGAATAAAATATAATCTTACATACAGATTCACAAAAAGCTTACAGGTTTTGTCAAGACATCAAAGATTTAAAGCTGTTCTGCGTTGTAAATAGTGGATTATGTATGTTTAAAATGGCGACACAGCAACTAAACACTTTCACTTTCGTTTCTAAAGGAGCGGCAGATCAGGAGTTCAGTGAAAAACATCCGTCACAAACTCTCTAAACAGAGCAAAGAAGAGTCAAACAGCTGCAGGGTTATCAAAGCACCTGTGGAGTTACATTTTACTAGGGTAAATTTTCCTGAAGCAGTATAAACACTGGACACAGAGAAGACAGAACAAACACATACCTGGATAACCTCCTCCTCTTCTTCTTCTAGTTCTTGTGTGGCAAGTTACAGAGAGCAGCGTAAAGCTGAATACCGCCACCTGCTGTACTGGAGTGTGTATAATAATAATATGTTTACAGTTTGGTCAAATCAGTTTCTTTTTAGTCGCAACATAAAAGAGAGATGAGCCAACAAAATAGCCTGAATGCAAATTATTTATTATAAAATGTAACTCATAAAACTATCAATCAAAGCAACCAGCAAATGTCTAGGGATAATAATGAAGATAAAGAACTTAGGATATAATCACAACAACATGTTAACTACATGATACAAGCAATGCAAAACAAAACCATAAGGTTCAAGATTTAATGAGATGGCAGGTCTTGACAGGAGGACTCCTGAGTAGCCACAGCGTCCTGGATTAGCTAGCAGCCTAGCACAACAACTTTTATATACCCATTGATGAGTAATGCAGGCATCCAATCAGGATTTACCACATACTCCAATCTGGAGTCTTGGGATCATCAAAGTGTATTAATATTGTAAAACTTAATACCTGTCGCTCTGCCTAAATCATAAAATATTCATAATACATCTTTATTTATTTGTGTCTTTCCAGTGATGCTACTCATTCAGGTAGTCAGACAGAGAACATCATCCAAAACAACACTAGCTACATGAAAACACTGGAGAGTGGAGTACAGATGTATCCGCACCTGTACAATCACTTGCAAAGAGAGATTTTAAGCTGCTGAGATGCTGTTTGTCAGATGTTTATGAAACTGTTCTTCTCTCAGTCGCGAGCATTGTGTTTACGGTAAACGCGAGGAGCGCAACACATTTACAACCCCACCTACTGCAATGTAGGAGTGTTGGAAAACAGTATATCGTCACTCAGCCTTTTCAAACATTGTGCACAGAGAAAATGTTTTGCTGCATTCATGTCATGTGTGCAACTTTTGTCCAATTCTGTAGACACTCATCAGATCTGTACGGTTTCTCTCCAGTGTGAATCCTCTTTTGTGTTTTCAGATGTGTTCACTGATTAAACCTCTTGTCACAGTGTGAACACTTGTACGGTCTCTCCAGTGTGAAACGTCGGGTGCAGTTTAAATTTTGAAATAAAAGTCTTCTCACACTCAAGCACATATACTCTTTCACACCAGTGTGGATCTTTATGTGTTCATTAAGGTTTGCTAATCGGTTGAAACTTCCCACACGGAGTGCATTTAATGGTTTATCTCCAGTGTGGGTCTTTATTAAGGTCTGAGGAGTTGCTGAAACTCATCCCACACCGCAGCTGCGGTCACACTAGAGTTTGAGCATGCAAAATTCTGTTGTTTGGCGCTGTGAAAAGCGGCGGGATTAAACAAGATTATTAGACAAAAAAGCAAGCTATTGGTCCATATTTTACATTTCTGTCCAGAAAGGTCATGTTTTGATCTTTGATTGGTCTCACACAGTCAAGTGATGCGATTTTGCAGGTCAGAGTTCACCAAGCTTGAACTTTGCAATGCAGTGAACTGCGAAACTTGACACACAAACTTGGTTTCCGGTCTGACACATTCCCGTGCGTATGAATGGAAATCCATGGGGGAAAAAGTCCATTGTGACCGCTGCTTAAGTGCAAGTTTCTCTCCAGTGTGGCTCATAATGTGTAGATTAAGGGATGATGAGCAGATGAAACTCTTCCCACACTGAGTGCATGTGAATGGGTTCTCTCTAGTGTGGATCCTCATGTGTCGATTAAGGTTTGATGATAGGCTGAAACTCTTCCCACACTGAGTGCATGTAAATGGTTTCTCTCCAGTGTGGATCCGCATGTGTTCATAAAGGTGTGATGAGTTGTTAAAGGTTTTTCCACACTGGGTGCAAGTAAAGGGTTTCTCTCTAGTGTGGATCGTCTTGTGATTATTAAGGGATGATGATCGGTGGAAACTCTTCCCACACTGAGTGCATGTGAATAGGTTCTCTCTAGTGTGGATCCTCATGTGTTGATTAAGGTATGATGATTGGCTAAAACTCTTCCCACAATGCGTGCATCTGAATGGGTTCTCTCCAGTGTGAATCATCATGTGAATCTTAAGATCGAAATTTCTTCCAAAACTCTTCCCACACTGAGTGCATGTGAATGGTTTCTCTCCGGTATGAATCATCATGTGTTCATTAAGGGATGATGATCGGTTAAAACTCTTTCCACACTGAGTGCACGTGAATGGTTTCTCTCCAGTGTGGATCCTCATGTGTTGATTTAAGTTTGATGATTGGCTAAAACTCTTCCCACACCGAGTGCATGTGTATGGTTTTTCTCCAGTGTGGATCCTCCTGTGAATCTTAAGTTCCCTTTTTCTTCCAAAACTCTTCCCACACTGAGGGCATGTGAATAGTTTCTCTCCAGTGTGGATCCTCATGTGAATCTTAAGATAGCCTTTACTTCCAAAACTCTTTCCACACTGAGTGCAGGTGAAACTATTTTTGTCTCCCCTTTTCAAAATACCATCAGTCTGTAAATGAGTTTTTTCCTCAATTTTGACATGATGTTCCTCCTCTTTTCTCCCCTCATTCTCTTCAATTAGGTCTGAAATAGATAAAACATTAGTTTTCATTAAGTCTTAAAAACTCTCATCAAAAGCTGAAAAGTGAAAAGACACTGGAAACATTGGCTACACACACTGCAATTTTGATGCATGGTAAATGTAAAATAAATCAGATCATATTTTGTTTGGTCCATTAACATGTACACATTTAAGCAGATTCAATTCAATTCATCTTTATTTATCTAGTGCTTTTACAATGTAAATTTTGTCAAAGCCACTTAACATAGAAGTTATAGTAAATTAAAACCGTGTCAGTCCAGTTTTTAGACTTTCTTACATAATTGATCATAAAAGTAATTTTGGTCATATTAATAAGACAGATTTGAAAGCTGTACATGGAATTTTTATTTGTTTATATTTATCATTACAACAAAATGTTTTTCTAAAATGTGTAAAGCAGACAGGGAACAGGGCCGGAGTGGGACTCCTTTTTAGCTCTGGAATTTCAAGCCTTAGTCCGGCCCACCTCAGTCGACGACTGACTATATTAATAATAATATGCGGATGATCTTCTTTTTCTGTCGAATCCAGATACATGTATTCCAAAAGTTTTTACAATAATTTCAGAATTTGGAAATGTTTCTGGATACAAAGTCAATCTAGCAAAGAGTTTCCTTTTCCCTATCAATGATAGAGCACAGCAAATTTCCTTCCAATCCTTTCCATTTTCATTTTATCAAAGTCCTGATAAATTTGTATAGTGACGCGCAAATATAAGGATTCGTTCAAAAATAATTTTAAAACGACATTAGTGCTCAAGGACGTTTTTAGTGCTCAAGGACACCTTAAAAACAGTAGAAGAACAAAAAAAGCAACAACCTTAAGAAGGTAGAGAAAATGGGAGACTAATAATACATAAAATAATGACAAAAGACCTGAGAACAAGTAACAAAAGAAACTCGTTCCTGTCTTTCAATAAGTGCTTATGTGCATTTAAGAGAACTAGGCAGCACACTCAGGGCTGCAAGATGGATTTAATTTAGTATTCTTATTATTAAAATATATCTGAATGAAGATCAAATGACTGAGTTGGTTTCGAGAATGAAAACCAACCTGTTTGTTCCTGCAGATCTTCCTGTTTGACTGTGAATGTTTCTTCAATCTTCACATCTTCACTCTCCTCTTTAATAAACGCCATCTTTATAACAGTGTGGAGATCAGTCGCTTCAGCAGGAGTTTTTCTCTGTGTTTGGACACTTTATTCTGTTTAAAATGAACAAAACAATGAACAGAAACAAAATAACTTCTCTTCAACACTTGCTTCAACAGTTTCTTTATATGAGAGTGATTGACAAAAATAAATCAGGTAAGTCTAAACAAGAAACAATAGCCACAAACAAATGACCTAATAAAAACTAGTTCTCCATTTATTATATATATATATATATATATATATATATATATATATATATATATATATATATATATATATATATATATATATAGAATATTGTTTACTTATATTAGAATGACATTATGCTAGTAAATAAATAAAACCTTCATTAAAACACATTTCTGTTGTTCAAACAATAGCCCTCGATTACTGAGATTAAAATAGTACTACGTTGTATAAAGAATTAAAATAAAAGTCAACAGCAGGTATGTCATATTGGAAGAAAAACCTGAAACTTTAATCAATCGGTTTATATGTGTAAAGTTGTGAAACAAACCTTCCTCCAGTTGAACTGCAGCGCGGAAGCGGCGCAGCCTAATGACGTCACACACCACACCAAAATAAAAGTCTTTTTTGTTCAGTTTTTTTTTGGCCACTTACTGTTGCAGTCAGGACATGATCAATTTCTCCCTCGTTTTCCACTTTACACAACATATCTGCTGTCTCTCATATACATCGACATTTAGAATTTGAAGTTGATCAAAACTTTTAATCCAAACATTTTAAAACAATTTTGAAAAACTTGTTTAATCCACTAAGTTTAAGTGTTTTTTTTTTATTGTTGCAAAAAAGTTTACATCACAAAACAGGGAACAGTCAACATCGCAAGGCATATTTAACATTAAAATATATAAAATAAATTTAATTTGTTACAACTGCAACAAAAGATCTACATCAAAAGAAAAACAAAACATTATGACAATAAGTGTTTTAAAAAATAAAGTACAGAGAGCTTCAGTTATTTTACTTTGATTTCTGAAGTATTTGAAGCTTTGAGCCACTTTCTCTACCTCAGAAAGAAAACACCTGAAAGAGGGTCAGCACTCATTAAAATAAAGTTCACAACATCAGAGAAAGAACAATGTAAATCAGCTTTGTAAAATAACATATCTTCTAAAACAATAGGGGGGACTGAAATCATCTTTAATGAAAGCCAAGGATGGATGTCAAACCAGAATTTAAAAGTAATTTCACAAGAAAAAAATAAGTGATCGAGTGTTTCTGGAAGATTTAAGCAGAAGCTACACTTGTCAACATCAGAGTTTTTTTGAATAAAGTAATTCACAGGATATATCCTGAATACAATTCTGTAGTGAGTTTCCTTAACCTTGGGTGCTACGGGATATTTAAGATAAAAGGTAAAAGCTTTGTCCTCTACTAAGGGTTTAACAACTCCTAGATGATGACACTTAAAATCACCAATGATAAGCGTTTAAATTGTTTGTAAATAAGCTTGATGTTACATTTACCATCGAAAATATCAACATTTGATATTTTTAAAAATGGAAGAAAAGTTATAAGTATAAATGGGAGATCAAAACAATTACTTTGAATTAACCTAAACAAAGCAATAGGTATAGCCTCGCAAATTTCAGTATAACCTTTATCTGTGATTTTAACTCTATATTTATTTAAAAATTCGTTATGAGATAGCAGTCCATTTACATCTAACAAATCATTAATAAATATAATGCCTTTATTGTACCAGTCACCTCTAAACAATGATTTCCTGTTAATAATAACAGCCCTTTTATTTCAAAGAGGGGATTAATGAGGGGAAAATTATGGGTAAATATCATTTTCCAAAAAAGTAGTGCTTGCTTATGAAAAGTAGACAGCTTCAAAGGAAGTTTTGAACAATCATAATCATATCTTAATACAAATTCAAGGCCACCATTTTTTTAAACAAATTATTTGGGATATGATACAATATTGAATAAGGCTTAGCTAAACACTCTTTTAACCATTTAACTCTAAAAGAAGACATTCAAAATCGATAGCTTTTAAACCTCCATATTCAAACTCTTTGATCATATAATTCTTACGTAAATAATGTGTTTTATTTTTACAAATAAATTTAAATAATATTTAATTAATAGATTTAACTATTTTAGGAGGAGTATATAAAGGAAAAGTTAAATATATAATTTTAGATAATCCCAGTCAAAAGAATTTTACCCTATATGGAAAGGTCTCTAGCTAGCCAATGATTTAGGGATTTTTTTCATACCTTCCATTTTAATATTAAAACTTGCACATTCTCTATTAAATGATACAGATTGAAACTTCAGGTTCTCCTGTTCAAAATGATATATGACACTTGAGGCTGACTGCTAAAATAAAAATAAAACTGCTTTAAAAAAAAATAATAATATAGGCCCATTAGGTGCCCACAAAATACCTCTAGGTCTTTAAGGGTTAACAGAATTTTTGGTGATGGTAACTCCTAAATATTTAACTTCTTCTTTTACTAGAATACCCTCTAATTCTCTTAAAGCACAATTCTGAATAGTTAATATTCCACATTTTCTTAGGTTTAAGGTGAATTCAGAAGCTTTAGGAAACAGAGATTTTGACAAGAGCTAAAGGGAGCACCTCCCTATTTTTAAGAATCAATAGTGTGTCATCAGCAAACTGACTTAAACTAAAAGTCCTACCAAGTATATCAATACCTAAAGTGTACTCTGAATTTTTAAAATATAATGACATAAGTTCAACAGCTATATTAAAAAGAAAAGGTGAGATGGGACATCCTTGATGGATTCCTCTTTTGATGTAAACTCCAGGAGATGATCCTGAATTCAGAGATTTACTACTGAATATATCAGTATAGAACATGAAAATTACCCTACAAAAGCTCGGACCAAACCCAAAAGTTGGTCTAAAGACAAAAAAGGATGCTCAAGGGTATCAAATGACTTGAAAAAGTCTAGAAATAGAAATAAACTTGTCTGAGGAATTAAATATCTATAATTGAGCATATCAACTATCAGTCTGACATGATTGTGAATACTTCTCACTTTAATGAAAGCTGATTGTGTTTCATTTATTATCTCGCCTCTACCTTTTTTGAGTCTATTGGCAAATACATGAGAGAGCAATTTAAAATCATTGGACAAAAGAGTTATGGGTCTCCAATTGTCTAAAAATAATTGGTCTTTGCTTGGCTTTGGAACTAAATGATTAAACCCTGCTTCATAGAAGTCGATAGTTCTCTTTCTCTATATATTCCTTAAGTGCTTCAAAAACTAAAAATCCCATCTCTGGCCAAAAATGTTTATAAATCTCAACTGTGATTTCGTCTGTTCCTGGGGATTTTCCATTGAACATTTGAGAAATAGCAACATCAAGTTCAGAGATAACAATGTCAGATTCCATCATTTCACAAAAGCTGTCATCAATAATAGAAACTTTATCTTTTGAAAAGGAAAAGAAAAAGTCACAATCACTCTCATTAAATTTTGATTCATATAATAATATGAATAGATGTGATCATTAATCAAAGTTTTCTCTTCACTTACATTGTTATTTATGCTAAGTTTATTAATAGTTTTAGAAGATTGTCTATGCTTTACTAAATAAAAAAATATATATATATATGAAGATTTTTTCTCCCCCTCCTCTATCCATTTCACTCTAGATTGTAAAGGTCCTTTAGCTTTTTCTGTTTAATAGTAATCTAACTCTGATGGCAAAATACGAAGTTCATTTTGTTCTATATCTCCAAGAAAATCTTTATCACCAAGGTCATTTAATCTAGATAAAACTGTTAACTGTCTTTTTTTCCTAAGAGAGGAAAACAATAGCTCATTACAGCAGAGCCATTTTTAACCTGATTCATTTTTAATTTGAGAAGAGCATGTGGCAAAAGAAAAAGAAAACCAAACAGCAAATATGGAGAAAAGCATTTGCCAAATGCTTATTTAAAAAGCTGTTTAAAATGTGTTTTGTGATTTATTAATACAATTTTTTACTGTTTGATTAATCAGCCTTTAAAACATGGATTAAATAATAATACAGTAATAAAAGTGTCTATTTATATATTTAAAATGTATTTGTAATGCATTGTTTTATTGATAATTAAATGACATTTAAAAACATTTAAATTGTGATTTATTTATGTACATTTTTATGCTGGGTGGCGCAGTAGGTAGTGCTGTCCCCTCACAGCAAGAAGGTCGCTGGTTCGAGCCTCGGTTCAGTTGGCGTTTCTGTGTGGAGTTTGCATGTTCTCCCTGCATTCGTGTGGGTTTCCTCCGGGTGCTCCGGTTTCCCCCACAGTCTAAAGACATGCGGTACAGGTGAATTGGATAGGCTAAATTGTCCATAGTGTATGAGTGTGTGTGTGTAAATGTGTGTGTGGGTGTTTACCAGAGACTGGTTGCAGCTGGAAGGGCATCCGCTGCGTAAAAAGCGGTTCATTCCGCTGTGGCAACCCCAGATTAATAAAGGGACTAAGCCGACAAGAAAATGAAGACATTTTTGTACTTCAATAATTAAATTGATCATTTGAGTCTTGGATTTTCTAGCTAGCACTCTTGTACGGTGGCCGGGAAGTGCAAAAACAACATTATAAAGTTTGAAACACTTTTACAAAGCTCGAGACAAAATTAGATTTTGAAAAACACTTTTACTTATCATCAGACACAATTACACAGGGAAAACAATTTTACAAAGAACGAAACAAATGTACATTTTAGAAAACAAATTAACAAGACGCAAAACACTTTTACAAATCCCAAAACATATTTACAATTAGATTCCCTACGGAAAGGGAATGTACCACACCCCGGAAGTGACATAGAATGTACCACACACTGGTAGTGAACCGGAATGTAACACACACACTGTAAAATATCAATAATATCCAGCTCGTGTGTGACTTTGTAGACAAGTTACCACAAGTCTACAACTATAAAAATCATGGTTTGACTAACTGTGATAAAACATATTAGGGCTATTCTGAGAAAATATCAGCGTAAGAGTGCATAGAAACATGTAAATGCAAGTACATGGAAACACTTGTTGACTGATAAGATAACAAAACCAAGTTTAACTTGTACAGTGGAGTAGTTCGGTTGGATAAATCGGTTGATACTCATGTAGAACCTTGTGACTTGGGTTTGAATCCCGTTGATGACATGTCATTTATATTTATTTCTTTAGATTAATTTTGGTTTATGCTGTTCTGCCACACAAATATTGAATCAACAATGTTTACACTGACACCAAGTAATAAGAATCTTTATTTGGTATGGCATGTTGCTGTGAAAAAGTGACGAATCTGTCAATCTGCAAACGTGGATAGTTTGCACATCTGAAAGGGGGCCTCAGTTAACATGGACACCAGTTAAACCATAACACAGGCTTCCATCAGTTTACTGTTCAGAGTCCTCAAGCAGAGGTTTACACCATGTAGACTTGACATCATGTTCACGATTACAGCGTACGAGTGGATCTCATAAAAATATTGAACACATTGATGCAGCATGTCTGGTGTTTCCGTCTGTTCCGCGTCCTTTATAAACTCTAAACACTGACCACTTGCAAAGCAAAACCGTGTTAAGCTGCTCATGTGTTTGCCACAAAACGGGCAAAACAACCCTCGACCGCTGTCCATGTTCGGTCACCATAAACTTTGTTTACGCCATGTACTCCACAGCGCGAATTTACCGTGCTCACCAGCAACAACAACAACTTTACCCCACGTCACTACCGGTGTGTGGTACATTCTACGTCACTTCCGGGGTGTGGTACATTCCCTCTCCGTAGGGAATCTGTAATTGTAAATTTGTTTCGGGATTTGTAAAAGTGTTTTGCGCCTTGTTAATTTGTTTTCTAAAATGTAAATTTGTTTCGTCCTTGGTAAAATTGTTTTCCCTATGTAATTGTGTCTGATGATAGGTAAACATGTTTTTCAAAATGTAAATTTGTCTCGAGCTTTGTAAAAGTGTTTCAAACTTTATGTTGTTTTGCACTTCCCGGCCACCGTACTCTTGGGCCTCCATAATCATGACACTGAAGACTAATCATGCGTACAATTCAGGCTTAAACGTGAATAAATTATATTTTAAAGAACATTTAATAAAAGAACAGTGATTTAAAAATCCAATAACGTTTTAGTGAGCACAATAAGCTCATTATAAAATATTCCAAACTTTTAAAGGGGCTGTATATTATAGTATTTACAACTATTTGTTGTACAACCTTTGTTGAACCCACCTGTTTCTGATGTTTACTGGGGAGCGATTCTGAATGTCTGGCAACTGTGCAGAGCTAAAAAAAAGATCACTGTATTACGTAGTTTGAGGGGACATGTGGTATATTGTCCAGTGGCTCCCAGTGCTTCAGCATCTCTGTACATGTTTCCAGTGGAGCTGGTGGTACTGCTGATGCTGGTTGTGGCCAAAATCAAAGTCGGAGCTATAGTAAAAGCTCAGTTGCATCTGAGGTAACAGGTGGATATTCTATTGATGGAGAAGGGGGAAGGAGTGGCTTTGGTGCTGGTCATCTCATCAAAATTAAATGGAAACTTGTTAAAATAGATTATAATCACATTTGATTTTTTAACTTGAAATGACAATCTTTTTGTTAATTAAAATTATTCAACCCATTCTTTAAACAGGGTTTTGCTTGTCACCCTAAAGAGTTTAAAACAATAATTAATATTATCCCTAAAAACATCACAGTATTGATCAGAGGTTTTCTTTCACACTATTCTGTAATGTTCTCTCTTCCATCTTTATTTTTAGAGATCCAAAATGTAATAATAAGTTTTAAATGAATATTCTTATTCAAAGGCTTCATCATAATCAGCTCAGACCTCGTTTATTTTTAAAGATTTTAATTCACAGGAATTAGAAAAATAAGACAAGTTACATTTCTTTTTCAATTCTCCCCAAAATTAAAGAACTTTAGTTTAAATGATTAATGATGTGTATCCATCAAAAGAATTCATATTGAAAACACTGAGCATGTTTTTTATAAGTGAAGTTTAATAAACTAATTTCGAGAGGAGCATGTGATATGATTGTGCACCGCTGGCCACTCATCCGTAATCAGTAATAATCCAATCAGAATGATCCTAGCTTAGTATAAATGGATCACTTTCTCCCCATTGCACTATCTTCATTTTGGAAGAATCCCCCCTTCCACCCCATCTCCTCCTTTTTCTCTCCTTCTAAAGGGGGAGCGATCGAGACCTACCTGATCTCGGTTCTCCTGATATGCTTCTAGACCGGGCGGGAGCCCTGGGCTCAAATATCTCCGAGCTCAGGGTTCTCTCCCGGGACAGCATGCCAAACCTGCTATAAGTGCCAAGCATATCTAAGTGGAAACTCTTGAATTGCATATATTCATGTCTCATGTCAATATTCATGTAAACCCTTTTTGCAATAAACAAGTTAAATTTAATGTGACTAAAGAAAATTGTACACAGCATTAAGTAGTTAATAACCATTTATGCTTTGCAAAAAATTCTTCATTCATAAATATATAAATTTATAAATGTTGGTTTTTAAACCTTTTAAAGGGTGACAATGAGATTTATAGACCCATACTAGTTTTAAAAAAAACTATCCTTTTTCAGTTTTATTTTGCCCACCTAACATTGCCGTTAGTAATAGTAGTCACACACACACATATGTGTGTGTGTATATATATATATATATATATATATATATATATATATATATATATACGTGTGTGTGTGACTACTATTACTAACAGCAATGCTAGGTGGGAAACCCAGTATCAGATTACTGAAGCACTTCAGCTATCAGTTCATTCAAATTATATATATATATATATATATATATATATATATATATATATATATTATATATATATAGAATTTGAATAAACAGATAGCTGAAGTGCTTCAGTAATCTGTTGAGTACTGGAATTAGCATGTAAGCTAACAAATCACTCATATTCTCATTCACAATAGCAACACTGGGCTTCCCATACACAGATTTATTTGTAGTAATGTGGGAGTTTTCACATGAACATCTCTTCAAAGGTAACCAGTTGTTTACAGAAAGTTTAATTGTCTTCATGAGGAAAACTTTTTTATTTTCTAAAATCAGTCCATCAAAATAAATGTGTAGTGTTTTGAAACCAAAGTCTTCATTTGTTACCCACAACTCATCAAGATTTAATCAAGTCAAAATCTCATAATCTGACACAAATCTGATCTGTGGTAACTGGCAAATGGCATTGTGTAGTCTGAACAGGGCTTTATGGAGTCTGCATCAGTCTCTCACTGTCACTGCAAGTTCACACCGGCCAACTTTTATTCACCAACAAGTTTTGTGACACTGCAGACAAAAGCCCAAAATTGGAGGCAAATCTGTTTGTTCAAGGGAGTAAAAATCAAACAATGTGAACGATCAAAAACACAATCTAAGAGTGTAGGACAGTTTTCTCTGAATCTCCCCAAACATTTTCTCCTCCCTAATCTTTCTAATTCTCTTTTCAGTGCCGACCATTTGATTGCAGTGTGCAATGTGCACAAATTTGGTTCTCAGTTCATAATAACTTGAAACACATATAGAGTTATTTTGCTTCATTGCAGCCCTGTAGAAACTCTCACAATCTGGTACATCTTCACCCCTCTTCAGTTATTGAGTTTAAATCTTCAGGTTCAAAGGGTTTCATTCCAGTAACTTGAGATGTATTCAAGAGTTTACACTTGTCCCGAGATGCTATCCCGGGAAAGCCTTAAGCTCCGCTGGACAAGGCCTCATATTTTCTCTCCATTGTGAAGCTTCATGTGATTGATGAGGCTTCTTTTATGTTTAAAGACCTTTCCACACTCACTGCATCGAAAACGCTCTCCTAAGTGAGTCTTCATGTGTTGCTTAATGGAGTCTTTGCATGCGAGACTCTTTCCACAATGATCACATGTGGTTCCAGTGTGACCATTCATGTGGTTCATGAGGCTAGCTTTGGTTGTGAAGCTCTTTCCACACTGAACACATGCAAACGGCTTCTGTCCGGTGTGACTTATCATGTGGTGTTTGAGTGAGCCTGTATGTGGGAAACTTTTACCACACTCTGTGCATGTGTAAGGTTTCTCACCAGTGTGAATCCTCATGTGGATGGTAAGGTTTTGTTTTTGAGAAAAACCTTTCCTACACTGTGTGCAAATAAAGCTTCTCTCTCCAGTGTGTGTTCTCATGTGGGTTTCAAGATTGCCATTTTGCTTACAACTCTTTCCACACTGAGGGCAAGAGTAGAGCCTCTCCCCAGTGTGAATTCTTCTGTGCACTGCCAAGTTTCCTGTAGAATAGAAGCTTTTTCCACACTGTTGGCATGTGTACGGCCTCTCTCCAGTGTGAATTCTCATGTGCACTGTTAAGTTTCCTGTATTATAGAAGCTTTTTCCACACTGTTTGCAGGTGTAAGGTTTCTTTCTAGTGTGAACATCAAGGTTTGGCTTTTGACAGAAACTCTTTTTACTCTGTTTACAGCTGTAATTACACCTAGACTTGGATTTCCGAGATCTTCCACGTGATAAAGTCTTTTTAGTGAGTGTGGGTTTTTCATCAGTCGTTATTTCTTGTTGTGACTGTAGCCTTAATCCAGCGCCTTAGACCGCTCGGCCACACTACCTTACAAAGCTGCTTTCGCTGAGCAGTTTTTGCACCAACTTGTTTCAAGTAGCGCAACAGCTCTGGGAAATCAGTTCAATTTAGCCATGCCTAGCTGGAGCTCCTCCACAAAGACAGACAGCTCCTTAATACCAGCTTAGGACGCACTCCCACCTTCCTGTCAACCACAGTTCTGTCTCTATTTGAGCACACCTCAAGGCATTTGAAGTCTTCTCCTTACGGCAGCCAGCTGCGATGCATTTAAGCACCTGATTACAAGGTAACTGTTATTTCACAAAAGAGTGAAAGTTACTGATTCCATCACAGCAGACCCCACGTTGTTGTTGTTATTATATTCAAATCCAGTTATAGAGTATTACTACTCTAATTGTGAATCTTTACTGTTCCTGTTTCAATAGGGTGCTCTTGCTAAAACGAGCAATGGCAGAAAGAGACTTCCAGTGCAGACTTTAAGATGCTGCAATCTAATCGTGGGAAAGACACTTGCTCCTGAGCAGATTCGATCTTGGGGATGTGTTGCTGTCACACCAACGAGTCTGCCGTGAGTTTCAAAGAACACATTATACTGACTAGTTGACGACTTAAATTTACTCTCTCACTTCCAGCGTTCACTGCGAACGTGCACACACTCAAGCAGTTTGGCCATGTTTAAAGGGTCACGAAACACCAAAACACATTTTTTGAGCTGTTGACAGTCGTATATGTGTCCCACACTGCTAAAAACACTATTAGGACACTTATATTTCACTAAAAAGTGTAAATTGGTTGTTTTTGCGTTATTTCAAGCAAATTCGTACTTCCGGTTTGAAACGAATTTTTTAAGCTGCGTCACGGTCATGACATAATAGCCTGTATTCCAGCGTGCAGACTGGGCGTCTGTGCCAGAGTGAGTCTTATTACGTCTTACAGTGTGATGCATTAATGCCTGAGTAAGGCTTGGTTCAAACCAATCAGCGCGCTCTATTGTGCAACTTCATTAATATTCATTACTGTCAGAGTGTAGACGACAAAGACGCCACGTTGTGTTGGCAAAACAAGCGTGAAGTGTTGCTTTTATAGTTTGCTGCAGTTAAGTTTCGTTTTTATTTTCTCTCTGTGAGAGCGCAGACTCGTGTGGATTAAGTGTACGCGACGCGCGACAACAATAACTTACGTGTCTAAGGAGGATTATTGTTTACCTGAGAGCTGTTCTGATCTGCTAACGCTGAGATCCGGTGTAGCAGTCGATTCTGTTCCCTTCTGGAATTCCAGTTCCCCCTCCACGAAGCGTATCCGCTAACAGCGTATGCGGACACAGCCGGATTTGCGGGCACCGGATTCGCTTGTAACGTTAGTCTCCTCTAAATAAAGACGCGGCTCTTGTTGCTGGTGATTGTCCTGTCTCTACAGATTTGGTAAGTGAGCGACCAGTGCTCTTTGTTTATTCAGTTCGTATTTTATTCGTATCAAACAAACTATTGCACCGAGTGTAAACAAGTTTGCACTAACAGTTACAACCAAACTATAAACTCGTGTTGGATTGTGTGACCGGAATAACACACGCGGCTTTCTGATGCTACCTGCCGTGTGCATCCAAGTTTCCGGGAAATGCTGAGTTTTTTTTTTCTCTCATTCGCCTTGCGGTATCAAACATTGCATGACAAATACACGCTTAGAGCAGTTCCTCGAATCAAATATCTCGTTTGTCGCAAGGGACATGAATGAATTCCCTGAATGAAAGAGCCAAACTGCAGTTAAAGTCCACCATTTAATAATTTGGCAAATAATTCGACTACAGATGTCCATGTAAACACAGTCACATTGTCCGCTGTGGGTGTGTGTTTTGACTCTGAAATTCAGCGCGCCCAAATAGATACTCCCATACCAAGCCAAGTTTCTTCCTCTGACACTCCCCCCCTAAACAGAGCTAGACACGCCCACTTTTCTGACTTTTTCCAAAGTAGAGGTGTGAAAACACCCTGCTGAAAAGAGGGGGTTTCATGGCCCTTTAAAACCACATCTGGCGGCGGTGGGATTCAAACCCACGCCCCCGAAGAGACTGGAGTCTAAATCCAGCGCCTTAGACCCCTCAGCCACGCTACCTTAGATGAATTCATGCAGTGGTCCGTTTTCTGCCCAATTTTACGGAAGCAGAACAGCAGAGAGGACGCAGAGCTTCCTAGTGAAGCCCTTCAACTTTGTCCAAGGAGTCTACATTTGGATGTGAGCGGAAGCATGCAGTATCTCTCCGCAAGTCTTTTTGCTCAAGCAGAGAGGTCATTCTCAAGCATCCTAAAAGGACTGCCTGGCAGCGATGGGATTCGAACCCACGCCCCCTAAAAGACTGGAGCCTTAATCCAGCGCCTTAGACCGCTCGGCCACGCTAACTTACAAAGCTGCTTTCCCTGAGCAGTTTCGACACCAACTTGTTTCAAGTAGCGCAACAGCTCTGGGAAATCAGTTCAATTTAGCCATGCCTAGCTGGAGCTCCTCCACAAAGAAAGAGACCTCCCTAATACCAGCTTAGGAAGCACTCCCACCTTCCTGTTAACCACAGTTCTGTCTCTATTTGAGCACACCTCAAGGCATTTGAAGTCTTCTCCTTACGGCAGCCAGCTGCGATGCATTTAAGCACCTGATTACAAGGTAACTGTTATTTCACAAAAGAGTGAAAGTTACTGATTCCATCACAGCAGACCCCACGTTGTTGTTGTTATTATATTCAAATCCAGTTATAGAGTATTACTACTCTAATTGTGAATCTTTACTGTTCCTGTTTCAATAGGGTGCTCTTGCTAAAACGAGCAATGGCAGAGAGAGACTTCCAGTGCAGACTTTAAGATGCTGCAATCTAATCGTGGGAAAGACACTTGCTCCTGAGCAGATTCGAGTTTGGGGATGTGTTGCTGTCACACCAACGAGTCTGCCGTGAGTTTTAAAGAACACATTATACTGACTAGTTGACGACTTAAATTTACTCTCTCACTTCCAGCGTTCACTGCGAACGCGCACACACTCAAGCAGTTTGGCCGTGTTTAAAACCACATCTGGCAGCGGTGGGATTCGAACCCACGCCCCCGAAGAGACTGGAGCCTAAATCCAGCGCCTTAGACCCCTCGGCCACGCTACCCTAGATGAATTCATGCAGTGGTCCGTTTTCTGCCCAATTTTACGGAAGCAGAACAGCAGAGAGGACGCAGAGCTTCCTAGTGAAGCCCTTCAACTTTGGCCAAGGAGTCTACATTTGGATGTGAGCGGAAGCATGCAGTATCTCTTCGAAAGTCTGTTTGCTCAAGCAGAGAGGTCATTCTCAAGCATCCTAAAAGTACTGCCTGGCAGCGGTGAGATTCGAACCCACGCCCCCGAAGAGACTGGAGCCTTAATCCAGCGCCTTAGACCGCTCAGCCACGCTACCTTTCAAAGCTGCTTTCCCTGAGCAGTTTCGACACCAACTTGTTTCAAGTAGCGCAACAGCTCTGGGAAATCAGTTCAATTTAGCCATGCCTAGCTGGAGCTCCTCCACAAAGAAAGAGACCTCCTTAATACCAGATTAGGAAACACTCCCACCTTCCTGTCAACCACAGTTCTGTCTCTATTTGAGCACACCTCAAGGCATTTGAAGTCTTCTCCTTACGGCAGCCAGCTGCGATGCATTTAAGCACCTGATTACAAGGTAACTGTTGTTTCACAAAAGAGTGAAAGTTACTGATTCCATCACAGCAGACCCCACGTTGTTGTTGTTATTATATTCAAATCCAGTTATAGAGTATTACTACTCTAATTGTGAATCTTTACTGTTCCTGTTTCAATAGGGTGCTCTTGCTAAAACGAGCAATGGCAGAGAGAGACTTCCAGTGCAGACTTTAAGATGCTGCAATCTAATCGTGGGAAAGACACTTGCTCCTGAGCAGATTCGAGCTTGGGGATGTGTTGCTGTCACACCAACGAGTCTGCCGTGAGTTTCAAAGAACACATTATACTGACGACTTAAATTTACTCTCTCACTTCCAGCGTTCACTGCGAACGCGCACACACTCAAGCAGTTTGGCCGTGTTTAAAACCACATCTGGCAGCGGTGGGATTCGAACCCACGCTCCCGAAGAGACTGGAGCCTAAATCCAGCGCCTTAGACCCCTCGGCCACGCTACCCTAGATGAATTCATGCAGTGGTCCGTTTTCTGCCCAATTTTACGGAAGCAGAACAGCAGAGAGGACGCAGAGCTTCCTAGTGAAGCCCTTCAACTTTGGCCAAGGAGTCTACATTTGGATGTGAGCGGAAGCATGCAGTATCTCTTCGCAAGTCTGTTTGCTCAAGCAGAGAGGTCATTCTCAAGCATCCTAAAAGGACTGCCTGGCAGCGGTGGGTTTCGAACCCACGCCCCTGAAGAGACTGAAGCCTTAATCCAGCGCCTTAGACCGCTCGGCCACGCTACCTTTCAAAGCTGCTTTCCCTGAGCAGTTTCGACACCAACTTGTTTCAAGTAGCGCAACAGCTCTGGGAAATCAGTTCAATTTAGCCATGCCTAGCTGGAGCTC